CCGCGCCCTTGCCCGTTGCAGATGAGCGAGGCGGAGGTCAACGGGCAGTTCGAGTCGGTGTGCGAGTCCGTCTTCGGCGAGGTGGAGTCGCAGGCCATGGACGCCCTGGACCTGCCCGGCTGCTTCCGGACGCGCAGCCACAGCTACCTGCGCGCCATCCAAGCCGGCTACTCCCAGGACGACGAATGTCTCCCCGCGCTGACGCCCTCCCACGTCACCTCCACCATCCGGTCCACGGCAGGTAAGGATGCGCTGGCAGGGCCCCTGGTGGGACACGGGGGGCATCTATCCCTGGAAAGGGGGCCCCTCGCGGCCGGGACGGTCTAGTCTCAGACGCTGGTAACTGTCCCTCCTGCTTACGTAACGTGGTCCTGACTGCAGTGGCATTTTGAAACGTTTCTTTCATAGGTAACTTTTCTTTCTTCTAAGAATGAAATCCATAGTTGTCACGGTTTTCAAAAATAATCAAGTCTGGCCAGCCCGTGGGGCTCAGTTGGCCGGGTGTTTGTGCCTGCACAGGAGGTCAGGGTTCGATTCCCGGTCAGGGCACAGGCCCGGGTTGTGGGCTCCATCCCCAGTGTGGGATGTGCAGGAGGCAGCCGATCCATGATTCTCTCTCATCATGGATGTTTCTCTCTCTCTCCCTCTCCCGTCCCCTCTCTGAAATCAATAAAAATATATTTTTTTAAAAAAAGAAAGAAGTGTAAGCACTGCTAATTAGAAAACGATTGCTTTTTAAATGTCAGAGTTTAGTCGATTGCAGCAAAGCCCGCGGGCGCACAGGTACACGGGCGCCTATGTGGCCGAGTCCAGCCCGCGTCTCCGCCGCTCGGTAAGCGAACCCATAAACGTGATTCATTGCCGCAAGCAGACCGGGCGTCCGTGTAAATTCTCCGGTCGTCTTTGGGCTCCACGGATCCAATGTCACCATTTCCTTCCGTTCTATGGCAGCCACATCCACCCCCGGAAAATTTACCGCCTGAGCCGCACCGCACGGCTCATATTTTTCCGCGCTGTCATATTTCTATAACACGATGAATATCCATGGCCCGGAGGAGCCCATAAAGCAGAGCAGGCGATAAAATTCCACGAGCTGCCTGTGCGGCGGAGCCGGCTGCTCAGGAGCTCGCCACGTTGACGAGCGAGGTGACTGGAATACATGAGGCCTGGGACACAGCGACCGGTCAGACAAACCAAGGGCGTTCTCAGAAGCCCTGGGATGCAAGGCGTTTGTGATCTCCAGAGCTGGGAGCCAGAATGGGGCCAGGGACAGGGACAGAGCGGGGACAGGGACAGGGACAGAGTGGGGCCAGGGACAGAGCGGGGACAGGGACAGAGCAGGGACAGGGACAGAGCGGGGACAGGGACAGAGCAGGGACAGGGACAGGGACAGAGCAGTGATAGGGACAGAGCAGGGACAGGGACAGAGAGGGGACAGGGACAGAGCGGGGACAGGGACAGAGCAGGGACAGGGACAG